GAGGTTGATGATGAGAGAGTGTGAGTGAGTGTGAGTGGGTGTGTGCGCGTGTGTTCCTGTTCCTGCGCGGGGTGTCCAGAGAAAACAAGAACCCCACTTTGGATGTGGGGAAAAAACAATCAAAAAAAGAGGGAAAGCGAGAGAGAGAGAGAGAGAGAGGGAGAGAGAGAGAGAGGGAGAGAGAGAGAGAGAGGAGAGAGAGAGAGAGGAGAGAGAGAGAAGAGAGGAGAGAAAGAAGAGAGAGAGAGAGAGAGAGAGAGAGAGAGAGAGACGAGGAGGGTGAGAGAGAGGAGAGGAAGATGAGTAGAAGAGAGAGAGAGAGAAGAGAGAGAAGGGAGAGAGGAGAGATGTAGAGAGAAGAAAGAGAGAAAGAGAGAGGAAAAGAGAAAGAGAAAGAGGAAGAGAAAGAGAGAAGAGAGAGAGAGAGAGGGAAATAGAGAGAGAGAGAGAAAAGAGATGAGAGAGAGATGATGAGAGAGAGAGAGAGAGGAGAGAAAGAAAAAAAGAAAGAAAACAAAAAAAAAAGAGAAAGAGGGGTGTGCGAACAAAGAAAGAGAGAGGTGATGTTCTCCTCCCTCCTCCTCCTCCTCCTGCTCCCTCCCCTCCTCCTCCTCCTCCTCCTCCTCTCCCCCCCCCCCCCCACCCCCCCTCCCCCTCCTCCTCCTCCTCTCCTCTCTTCCTCCTCTCCTCCTCCTCCCCCCCGCCTCTCCTCTCCTCCCCCCGCCCCCATCCTCCTCCTCCTATTGCCTTCATCCTCTTCTCCTCATCTTCCTCCTCCTCCTCCTCCATTTCCTTTCTCCTCCTCCTCTTCCATTCCCTTTCTCCTCCTCCTCCTCCTCCTCCTCCTCCATCTCCCCCTCCTCTCCCTCCTCCTCCGATCCTCCTCTCTCCTCCCTCCCCCCCGGCGGCCGTTCGGGGCGGCTCGGCCCGCGGCTTCCCGCCGCGCCGCGCCTGCGCCGAGGGGCGCAGCTCGGCGGGCCCATGGTGGCCCGCACGGTCCGGCGCTGCTGGCGGCAGGCGCGGCGTCAGGGGGCGAGGGGCGGAGGGCGTTACCCATCGATCAGAAGAAATAGGAAGAAAAATGAAGTAGGAGGACGTTGAAAAAGGATTGGGTTCCGTCAGCCCCCGAAGGAGGACGGAAAAGGTGAAGCCACTCGATCATTGAAGTAGGAAGGCGCTTGAAGCAGATTAGAATCTGGGGGGGCAAAAATACCTACTCTCAACGACCGATGGGTACAGTCAACCCGCACCATAAGGGTGCACGATAAGGATGCAAGGGCCTTGGACGCCCACCCTCTCTCCACCTTTTCGCGTTCTCCACCCTTTCGCGTCCTCCTCCTCCTCCTCCTTCTCCTCCTCTCCCTTTCGCCTCCTCCTCCTCCTCCTCCTCCTCCTTCTCGTCCTTCTCCTCCTCGTCCTCCTCATCGTCCTCCTCCTCCTCTTTCTCCTCCTGCTGGATGTGGCGCTGCCCCCGTTTCTAGAGACCTGACTCGCTCCTTGCCTCGACGCCCCTTCCGTAAGGTCTCCCACCCCCCGCTCTCCAAGTCGGTTGAGAGAATTGTGCAGGGCGCAGGGAGGAGCGGCAGGAGGCAGAGGTAGCCACATCAGCGCGAAGACGTGAAGGCCACGCACGCCGCATGAGCGGAGCAGACGGCGCGACAGATGGAGGAGCTCTTGTCTGAGCCAGGTTCCCGGAGTCCTGGCTCCCGCAACGGTGCATGTGTGGGCACCAGCTCTGACTAGAGCAGTCTCGAACCATCGGAAGGGTACAGTCGACCCGTATCATAAAGATGCGCGATTAGATGCAAGGGCCTTGGAGGGCCATGTTAACGGCTTTCGAACGAGGCTGGCTGGCCAGCGAAAGTCGCTGAGGATGGGCCGAAGAGGGGCAAGGGTGCGAGGGTACCTTTGGGAAGGTTGCCCATCCTTACTATGCGGGATGACTGTACTCCCACAAGGGCAAGGGGGAGACACAGGGAGTAGCGAGCCAGGGCACGAACGGGGGGAAACGCCTCCCCCCGGCTTTCAAATGGGGCGGCCCCGCTGCAAAGTCCGCACCAAGCCGGCCGCTGGACGGCAAACACAAAGACACGCCTTGCCGTCGCTCGGAGGTCCATATTCCATGCATTTGTTCGGTCTCGTGCGCGTGTTTTTTTGTTGCCCGATGGTCCAGGATGGTCCTCGATGGTTCTCGCCGAGAAAAAATGCAAACGCCCGAGCGATGCCAAGACGCGGCGGTCTGCTGTGGGCATGCCTTGCTGTGCTCTGGCAGCGAGGGCGAGGGCCGGGGGGCGGAGTCGAGGCAGGAGGGGCGGCAGCCGGAGCAGCAGCAGCGGGAGCAGGGCCCCGAGGGCGGAGGGGCGGCAGCAGGCAGAGCTCGCACGAGACTGGAGGACGTCCTCGCCATGGCTCGGACGTCCACTCCCTGTGTTTTTGTTCGGTCTCGCGCGCGGGCTTTCTCGCCAAGCGATCAAGGATGCTCCCCGGTGGCCCTCGCCGAAGGAAGACCGCACACGTCCGAGCGATGCCCAGAGTCCAGAGGACGTCTGCAGAAGGGACGAGGGAGGGAGGGGAGGCATGGACGGAAGGGAGGGGGAGCGCAGGTCGGCGACGCCCGAGGGGTGTGGCCTGCAGGGGGTGTGGCCTGCAGCCCGCCGGGGGCGGGCGAGGGCCTCGGCAGAGTGCTCCGCCGCTCCGCGGGGAGGCCCGACGAGGGCAGCGCGGTGCCACCCGCGAGCCCCAACGACGCAGGTCGCAGACTTCTGTGGCAGCTCACGGGAGCCTCCCACACCCTCGTGCCAGCTCCTGCGAATCGACGCTGGTCGACGCCAGATCGACGCCGATCGACGCCAAATCGGCGCGGATCGACGCTCTACACGACGCCGAATCGGTGCTGTCTCATCGACGCCAGGCGCTAATCGACGCGACGCTAAAGACGATGTTAAGAGGGTATATCGGGTTCCCATGATTTGCTACCGAAGCAAACCGCACCCCAGCGCAACCATGCGCAACCATGGTTCTTTTAGTCTCTGAGCAGGGGGGAGGACGGAAGGATGGACGAAGGAGGTGGAGCCCAGACGAGGCGGCTCGCGACGGAAGCATGAACGAAAGAGGCTGAGCCCAGAGGAGGCGGCTCGCTCCGGCCACCCTTCCTGCAGGAGCGACGACGAAGGCACGAGCAGCTCCTGTCGGAGGTCCGCGCCGATTTCTGCAGGGGGCCACATGTGAACCCTACCCCATGCCCCCCCACGATTTCTGAGGGGGGGTGGGGGTAGGGTTCACATGCGGCCCCCTACTCTAGGATCGGCGATGGGCTCCCCTCCCTGGCGCGCGGAGCGCGCCAGGGGCGGCGCCGGAGGCGCCGCCAAGGGGGGCCAGCGCCGACCCGACGGATCCGCGCGGAGCGCCGAGAGGTTCTGTTTACAGTCGGGCCTGCGCCAGAGGAAGATCCCTCGAGGACATGAGACCCTCCGTCGGCCAAAACAAACAGAGCATCCAAGGGTACCCTCCCCAGGATGCACAAGGACAGCCAGCAAGCACGAAGAGCACAAGGATGTCCTCCCCGAGCCGACCTCGAACTTACACCTGGGTCCGACTGGTGAACGTTTTCTTACTCGGCATTTAGACATTGGGCGGAAGGGGGAGCGGGAGGGGGAGGGGGGGTCTGGCTCTGGACCTCTGCTTGATGCGACCGTTTGCAACAGTGCGTCCTACGGGGGAGACCCCACCTGCCTGAAACAGGCGCCGAGAACAGCCAATATATATATATATATATATATATACACATACTCCACGGGGGAGGAGGGGGAGGGAGGTGCAGGGGCCCGCGCCGATCGGCAAACCGATGAATCAGACAACGATCACCTGTATGCAGTTGCGCTTTCTTCGACTTCCCGACGCCACCCTGGGGGCCCGCGTGGGCTACCCATCGGTCGGAAGAAGCAGGTAGAAACATGAAGTAGGAAGGCGTTGGAAATAGATTGGGTTTCCGCCCTTCTCCTGAAGAGGAGGGAAGAGAGAACACCACTCGACTCTTGAAGTAGGAAGGCGCTGAAAGCAGATTGGCATCTGGGAATCCAAAAATACCCACTTTCAACGACCGATGGGTACGCGTGGGCTGCGCGTGCCCGCACGACGGCGACTTGACACCACGGCCCCCGCCACGACGGCGCGAGGCCCAGAGAGCAGGGCGACAGGGCCAGGGCATGGGGGGCGACAGAGCCAGGGGGCCCCAGGACACACACATAAATACACACAAATAAAAAGATTCCCCATATTTTCATATATATATATATATATCTATATATATATATATATATATATATATATTGGGTTTCTGTCTTCCCTCCCACTTCCCATATTTTCCCATATTTTCTGGGGAATCGACGATTAATTGTGTCTGTGTGTTTTTTCCCCTCCTGACAGAGCCAGGGGCACGACGACGAGCCACGAAACACGAACAGCAAGGGCCCTGGGCGAGGAGGGCCGAGGCCAAGGCCAGGGTCACCAGCAGCGCTGCCCTTGCCCCGATTTGCGCGCACATATAGAGGCCTCCGAGATGGGGTCGGAGCAGGTGGGGTCGGAGGATTGCGCCGCATCGCCGACGCATCGCCGATGCATCGCCGATGCATCGGCGACGCCAGCACGGAGAAAATCGAGCTCCACACCGAGCCGCATCGCCGATGCGTCGCCGATGCGGCGCCGTCCTCCGACCCCACCTGCTCGGGCCCCACTTCGGGGGGCCTAGAGAGTCGGGAGCGGCCAAGAGGGGGGTGTCCAAGAGGGGGGGGGTGCAAATCATGACCGGCGGCACGTGCGCGGCCCAGCGGGGGGGCCAGGGACGTGATGAAACAAGCAGGGGCGCCGCAAAATCTGGGGGACTATCGTGGCCCACGCCGTGAGATCCACCACCCCCTGGTCGTCACCCCCCTCTTTCCCGCCCCCCGACCAGAGAGCGTCGCTGCCGACCCGGGGAGGCGCCTCGCCCTGGGAGCGCCTTTCCCGACGCCGCCCGAGGGGGGCCGTGCACCGCCGCTGGCCGAGGCGCCTCCGCCCCCGGCGCCCGCAGGGGGGGGCGCGGGGGCGCGCGCCGAGCGGGCGCCGTGCGCGGGGCGGGCGGCCCTCGGCGCCGCCCGGCCGCGCGGCGGAGGCCTGGAGGTTGGCACCCGCATCGTCGGGTCGGGCGAAAGGGGGGGGATAGCAAAGGGGGGGTTTGAGAATCAGCTCACGTAGCTGATTTTCCCGGCGCCTCCCGGCGCCGGAGGCGGCTATGTATCGAGGAATGGGCCCCTCGGTGAGGCCGAAACTAGCTGCATGCAGCAAATTTCGTAACCCCCCTTTCCCAATCCCCCCCTTTCGCCCGGCCCGACATCGGCACGGGGCGCTGCCTCCGCCAGGGGGCAGATGCTCGCAGGCTTCGGTGCCGGTGGCACTCTTTCGGCCGCCCGGGGAGCCAGAGCAGTGCCACCGTCACCGAGATCGGGAGCATCGCCCCTCGGTGAAGGCACACCGCCGATCTTGGTGTTGATGGCAACCTCTGGGCCTCCGAATTTGTCGGCGGCGAGCACGGGCGGGGGGGGGGGAAGCGAGAAGGGGCGGGCCCTCGCAGAAGGCTCGGACGTCCCCCCCGCGGCCTTCTGGGAAGTTTCCAGGGCCTTCTCCGGAGAGAGACGCAGAAAACTTTGAGACCGCGCGCACCCGTGGTACACTCCCAGAGGGGGGGTCCCCCCTTAGCTACCCCCCCCCCCTGGACCTCCCCTGCCGAAGCCCCCCCCCAGAACCAAGGTTTTCCCAAACCAAACGGGTCTTCCCAAACCAAATGTCGGAACCAGACCGCCGGGTCTTCCCAAACCAAACGGGTCAGCCCACACCAACCAGCCGGGTCTTCCCAAACCAAACAAGTCTTCCAAAACCAACTGGCCGGGTCCTCCCAAACCAACCCCGCGGGTCTTCCCAAACCAACTGGGTCTTCTCAAACCAGCCCCCAGGCCTTCCCAAACCAACAGGTCTTCCCAAACCACTCCCCCGAGTCTTCTCGCCTAATTCTCACCTCAATTTCGCTTTCGTTTCTGTCCTCGTTTCCACCCTCATTCCCGCCTTCGCTCTCGCCTTTGTTTCGCCCTCGTTTCCGCTTTTGTTATCACCTTCGTTCTCGCCTTCGTCTCGTCCTCGTTTCCGCGCTGGTTCCTGCCTTTGTTCTCGCCTTCGTTTCGTCCTCGTTTCCGCAATATTCCTCGCCTTCGTTTCGCTCCGTTTCCTTCCTCTTTCGCCTTCGTTTCGCCTACGTTTCCGCTTTCGTTATCGTTTTCGTTCTCGCCTTCGTTTCGCCGTCGTTTCTGCTCCCGCTTTCGCCTTCGTTCTCGCCTTCGTTACGCCGTCGTTTCCGCTCCCGCTTTCGCCTTCGTTCTCGCCTTCATTTCGCCTACATGTTGTTCTCATTTCCGCCCTCGGTCTCGTTTTCGTTCTCGCCTTGGCTTCGCTTTCGTTTCGCTCTGGTTTCCGCTTTCGTTGTCGTTTTTGTTCTCGCTTTCGTATCGCCTTCGTTTCGCCGTCGCTTCCGATTTCGTTCCCGCCTTCGTCGTCGTCGTCGTCGTGGTCGTGGTCGACGTCGTCGTCGTCGCCGCTACCGTCGTCGTCGTCGTCGTCGTCGTCATCGTCGTCGTCCGCCGTCGTCGCCGTCGTTGCAGTCGTCGTCGCCGTCGCCGTCGCCGTCGTCGTCGTCGTCGTCGTCGTCGCCGCCGCCGCCGTCGTCCTCGACGTCGTTGTCGTCGCCATCGTCGTCGTCGTTGTCGTCGTCGTCGTCGTCGCCACGGCGGGATTCATTTCCGAAATTAAGGCGACGGCGCACCTCCAGAACCCAGACATCCAGCGTTGTTTTTTTGGCAACGTGGGCACCCCAGGGTCTGGACCCTGTCCCTTAGGACCGGTGTTTCGTCCCGAGTCGTTTTTTGACGGTCCAGGGGCCTGTTCAGGGCCCCCGAGGCTGGGTGCACGCGTGCCAACTCGATGTCGATGGCGCATCCTACTTTCGTGTTCCGCCCGCTCGATCTGATCCGCCCGTCAAGGTCCGCCTGCCCGACCCGACCCGCCCGCCCAACCGACCCGTCCGTTAGGATACACGTGCGCCAACTCGATGATGCATAATATATAGCACCCCGCAATTGCGGATAAGAGTGAGGGGGCGGGCGCGGGCGACGCGGGCGTCGTCAAGCCGGCGGACCTCGTGGCCCCCACCTTCCTTGTCGACGGCGCTCTCCTCCTCCTCCTCCTCCTCCTCCTCCTCCTCCTCCTCCTCCTCCTCCTCCTCTCCTCCTCCTCCTCCTCCTCCGCCTCCTACTCCTCCTCCTCCTTCCTCGTCCTCGTCCTCGTTCTCATCGTCATCGTCGTCCTCCTCCTCCACCTCGTCCTCCTCCTCCTCCTCCTCCGCTTCTTCCTCGTCCTCCCTCTCCCCCCCTCGTCCTTCCATCATCGTCCTCCCATTGTCGTCATGTTCCTCCTCGTCGTCCTCCTCCTCTTCCCCCCCTCCCGATCCTCCACCCTCCTCCTTTTCGTCGTCGTCGTCGTCGACGTCATCGTCGTCGTCCCCTCCCTCCTCCTCCTCCTCCTCCTGCTGCTCCTCCTCCTGCTGCTCCTCCTCCTCCTCCTCCTCCTCCTCCTCCTCCTCCTCGTCCTCCTGCAAAAGCAGCCCGCCGCAGGCGCCGAAAAAATTGGTTTGTACACTGAACGTGGTTTGGGTCGCGGGTGGGCCGCGGGTTCTCCACCGGGAACGAATGCAAAAGATGCTCGCCGCAGGCGCCGAAAAAATTGGTTTGCACCCTGAACGTGGTCGCGGGTGGGCCGCGGTTTCTCCACCTAGAACGATTCAAAAGATGCCCGCCGCTGGCGCCGAAAAATGTGGTTTGTACCCTGAACGTGGTTTGGGTCGCGGGTTGGTCGCGAGTTGATCGCGGGGTGGGTCGCGGGCTCTCCACCTGGAAGGAATGCAAAAAAAACCCGCCGCAGGCGCCGAAAATGTTGGTTTGTACCTTGAACGTGGTTTGGGTCGAAGGTGGGTCGCGGGTGGGTCGCGGGGTGGGTCGCAGTGGTTCGCGGGTGGGTCGCGGGTGGGTCGCGGGCGGGTCGCGGGTGGGTCGCGGGGTGGGCCGCGGGCGGGTCGCGGGGTGGGTCGCGGGTGGATCGCGGGTGGGTCGCGGGGTGGGCCGCGAGGTGGGTCGCGGGGTGGGTCGCGGGTGGGTCGCGGGTGGGTCGCAGGGTGGGTCGCAGGGTGGGTCGCGGGGTGGGTCGCGGGTCGCGGGATGGGTCGCGGGTGGGTCGCGGGTGGGTCGCGGGTGGGTCGCGGGGTGGGTCGCGGGTGGGTCGCGGGGCGGGTTGCGGGTGGGACGACGACAACAACAAACAACAACAACAACAACAACAACAACAACAACAACAACAACAACAACAACAACAACAACAACAATCACTTTACCCGAACGCTCAGTGTTCTCACCAGTGCCAGGGTTTTCATGCGACGCCAGCCAATACCCCCACTTTGTGGGGGGGCAGTGCAAGCTCTACCAAATATCCACACGACTCTTCGCCACCACCCACACCCAGCTTCCCGCCCTATGACGTTCGGACACTTCACTTCGTGGCCTGCGGACGACCGTGGCTACTACACTGGCGTGGAGTACACACCCACAGAAGTTGTTAAGCCTACGTTCGTACACCCACAGAAGTTGTTAAGCCTTGTTAACCCACAGAAGTTGTTAAGCCTTCCACAGAACATCTGTTGCATATGATGCATATGGTACATGATACACATGATACACATGATACGTACTCACAAGATAGTTGATCACATCTTTAGGGCAAATTCCTGAGGGATGTGGGAATACACAAGAGAGAGAGGATATGGTTGTCCCGATGGTTGTCTCGATGGTTGTCCCGATGGTTGTCCTGATGGTTGTGGTTGTCCCGATCGTTGTCCCGATGATTGTCCCGATGGTTGTCCTGATGGTTGTGCTTGTCCCGATCGTTGTCCCGATGACTGTCCCGATGATTGTCCCGATGGTTGTCCCGATGGTTGTTCCGATGGTTGTCCCGATGGTTGTCCCGATGGTTGTGAGCGATGCCGGATCCTCACGCCCCCCGCCGGAGGAGGAGGAGGAGGAGGAGCAGGACAAGGAGGAAAGGAGAGAAGAGAGAGGAGGGGCGGGAACGGCGCTTGCACGCCCACCCACCGTCTTTTCCCCGCCGCGGCTCTAAAGAGACGAGTTCGTGTGCTCGTCATCTTCTGGCATACGCCCGTCCCTGATGGCACGGATGGGGCGCAATGCTGCCAGCTGGGCTCCTGGCAGAAATACACCAGGGGCCAAGTGTCCAAGCATGGTGCCGATACGCCTCCTCACATGCGCGGTGCTAAAATTCTTAAGAAGCCCAATGGTTTTTGGAGATTTCGGCGTGCGCGCGCGAAGAAAAAACGAATGTGTCCCGCATGGTATTATTTGACAGGGATGATGGCCCTGGCAGGTGCGCAACCGTTGTCGCAGAAGTTCGAAAAAGTTGCTCGCAAAAGCCCGTTTGACAGAAATGTTTAAAAAGTGTTGGGTTTCCTACGAATCCGCAAGAGCGCGCGGGATGAGATTTTGACAATTTTTTGTTGAAAAACCATTGGTTTTTTGATGTTTTTATGTTAAAATCGCTGCGAACACTAAGGTTTTGGAAGGATTTCGTCTTGCGCGCGCGAATGTCCACTTTACCTTATTTTTTGCAAGGGATTCTTGAAATTTGATTATATTAGAACAAGAAATGTCATTTTCTATTGTTTTTTGCAAGGGAAAGCGGATTACAACAAAACAACCGGATCCTGTACACACCCTCTTTTCTGAGGCTTCCTCACGAAAATGATGAAAATGTAGCTGCGGCCTAGGCGGCGCAGGGGGGGCGCGCACCAGGGGGCCCAACAATAATTATTCTTTAGAATAAATAGTGTTCAACAACAACAACAACAACAACAACAACAACAACAACAACAATCATTTTAATCGAACGCGTGGTGTTCTCCCCAGTGCCAGGGTTTTCATACGACACCAGGCAATACCCCCACTTCGCGGGGCATTACAAGCTCTACCAAATATCCA